TTTTATAAAAATCCTGATAATCTAATAATTTAAAAGCACCATACATGCCATACTCAAATATCAGTGGACATAAATCAAAATACTAATAGCACTGTATATATAAAAAAAAAAATGTTGTAAGTCAAAGCTTCATTACCTTTAGTACTCTTTTTTTTACTTATCTAACTCTTGCAATGAATAGTTAAATTTCTTTTACTTGCAGCTACTTTCAAGTATAATACCTATGGTTACAACCCTGTATATTCCATAATAAAAAATTTTTAAGTTTTACATTAAAGGGTATATCCTTTCATTATTTAAACTTGGTATAGACACAAAACAAAAAAAAACAAACAAACTAAGTATGCTATGTTAAACAAATACAAACAAATTATGTTAACATAGAAAATTGTTTACCCATGGGGGTAAAATTTTTAACATAATATTTGGACATCCTATACAGTGGAAATGGTCTTTATGGCTACTACTTTGATATTTTACATTCTGTACATTAAACCAGTTTGCCAGTTGTCTGCACTATAGCGTTTTTTATCTTTGAAAAGCAAAAGTACCCATCCCCAGTGATGGGAAAAGTTTAAGTTAATATATCAATTTGAATTATTTCATGGACTTTAAAAAGGTTAATTGTGTTGGACTCTTGGTTTCAGTCAGAGCCAAAGCTCTGAGCTACTTTTTCCGCCCACCGACAAAAGTAATTATTGAGCACTTCAGTCATGCTGAGAGCCGTTCAAGAATAACATATGGTAAATATGGTTTGGTTTCTTGTGAATTTTGTTCAAAGCTACATGAAGGCTATCTGCGCTAGCCATCCCTAATTTAGCAGTGAAAGACTGGAGGGAAGGCAGCTAGTCATCACCACCCACTGCTAACTCTTGGGCTACTATTTTACCAACAAATAGTGGGATTGATCGTCACATTATAATGCCCCCATGGGTGAAAGGGCAAGTATGTTTGGTGGGACGGGTAATTCAAACCCGACCCTCAGATTGCGAGTCAAGAGCCCCAACCACCTGGCCCTGCTGGGCTATGGTAAATCTACATTTTTTTCTTTAAGTTACATATTGTCAGAATTTAAAAATAAAATGTGTGTGTATATATAACTTTCCTTTTTGCCAATGGTCAAATAGAAAGGCTTTTAGTTATATTTTCTTAGTAGCATAAATATATACTACGTTGTTGTTGGGCTTAGGATTCTTCTACAGCAGGTATCTGTGACTTGTTAGTGATAAATTCAACGATGAATAAACAGCACGCACTTCACTTATTTTCAGAATAATATATATGTATTCAAAGTTAACGTATGTACAATAAATTCTTCAACACTATAGATATCGATGGACATATCATAAATACTATAGATGTAGTTCTCTCCTTCTTGTCAAAAGTCCACTTAGGCCTATTCAATTACTTTAGAAGTTCAGTTGACAAGCCGAACTATCTTCTCTATTTCTATCATACTACTATTCTCTGTGATTTGCGTACAGTTGTGGTGGAAGTTACCATAATCGTTTGGTCTTCTTTCTTTTGAAGATCCTCTATTCCTTTTGTCAAAGTGCACTAGGCTAATTAAATTACTTTAGAACCACGCTTTGATGGAATAAAATTATTTTTCTTATCTTCTTTTCTACTGTTAGTTTCATTCTAACATACTGAACATTAGGCCTATGTCAATCATTAGGCCTATCACTTCTATGGTAGTTAACTTTACACCAAATTTTTTCTTTTTTGCTATTATCTGTCTGCTTCTATCTACTGTTTCCATTCGTCTCACACTATTTATATCTTTATCACTTAATCATCTGTCTGCCTTCTATATTCTCAATGTCAATGAATTATTAACAAAACTTCCTACAATTGTCTGCTTTTAACTCTTATTATAACAAAAACTAAACAATAATAACATATTCACTCACAAAAATAAATTAATCACTAATATCTAAACCAAACAGTCTTTTATATCATGAAATGTATCATTTTGAAACGTGAATGATAGTGTGATTAATTTCTAATAACTTAGTGTAGAATATCCTGCTTGCAAAATAAAATTTGGCATCAACATTATTCATGCCTGTTCTCTCATCATTTCAAAATTGAATGTTGATCTTTGCCTGCATGCACAGCTTTTCAAGCAGGGGACAGACGCCACGGTTCATAATACATACAAGATTATCAATACAAGTTTCACCTTTGATTATTTTTTTACTATACTAAACACCCACCTTTGAGTCCTTTCTTCTTTTAATCTTTGAAATCTTTTTATCTGATTCTAGTGAGAAAGGAATTAGAAACAAGTTATATATGAGCTTCAGTACAATCGAAGATAAGTAACAATAAAAAAAAAGGACTTAATACGTTACAATACAGACTAGACTCAACTAGGAAAATATTTAATGTTCTGTATATTTTTTTTATAGAAGTTACTTAGAAGTAACTAATTGATTTTGATAACTGCATTAAAAAAATTAATTTGGAGTAAAATTATGCATATGTTAAGAGTTTATGATTTGTTGCAAGGTGAGAACAAGCAGTTTTGTTTGTTTTGCTTCAACACTTCACATTTCTATACTAAGGGAAAATAATTTAGCTCATTTAATCCAAATCAGTTGGTTGTAACTGTTTCTTTTTTTTTTACGTGTGTTTTGTTATAGCAAAGCCACATCAGACTATCTGTTGTGTTCACCAAGAGGAATCGAATCCTCAACTGTAGCATTGCACATCCGGTGTCCCACCAGGGGGAACCTGTTTTTGTACTCTTCGAAGTACAAAACAAAACAAGCAATATTACAATTAAAAAGAACATCTTTGTGTTGCCCTTAGTTTACTTCTGTAGATGAAAATTTAGTTTTAAACTCTTACTTTTGCTAAGGTCAAGCGTACATACTGACGAAGGTGCTGCAGCTCCCTCATCAGGTAAACTTGGGCTAGTCTGGCCCTCTGCTGGAGAAACACCTGAACCACTGTCGGATTCTGACCTAAAAATTACAAGATTATGATGATTCACGGTAATAAATACATAAACGATTAAAAACTTTAGCAGCTGCTACCAGTCACACATTAAGCAAAATAGTCATTATCTACTTATCTATAAAGTATTACAATATGATTATTTTACTTTATTCCTCTGTGACACACACACAATTTTTGGTTAAGTCAGTTCATAGGACTGTTAAAAAACAGCTTTCTGATGTATATCGTTTTTGCCACGTTTCTCAGTTTTCAAAAACGAGGTGTTTAAAAGTTGTTTATTAGTGGTTAAGCACAAAGCTACACAATGAGCTATCTGTGCTCTGTCCACCATAAGTTTTTAAACCCAATTTTTAGTTTTATAAGCACTCAGAGTTACCAAGATGCAGATATTTAAGAAACTGCAGTGAAATCTCCTATGATGATGATGATGTCTAAACATTTTATTATCAAATTTATTTTTCAAAATGTACAGTAGCCACTAAAAAGTTTAATACATAACAATACTTCTTTAACTTAAAATTTGATTAGGCGCTTCACCGGTAAACCTCACACAACATAAACATTACTAACTTGAATCCCTTCTTTCAACAGTAAAAAATTCCAAATAATTCAAGGTTTTTCAGTTAAACTGTGCCTAAATATCTGAACTTGTTTCAGAGGGATTTCTTGACATTTGCTTCTAGTTAATTTTTAAAAGCATTAGTAAACATAGAGTTCCTATTAACAGAATGATATTTTAATTGGGTTACTAATTACTTAAAGCATATTCAATAGATCTTGTCTTGACTGCCTTATTTAGTACTGCTAAAAAAAGTCAGAATTAGGTCAGTATAAAGACAATAAAGCCAGATGAAACTAGAACCTACACTGTATTGCAAGGCAAGTACCATAAGATATCATACACATTTTCTCCGAGTTCCTACACTTTTATTATTTCAAATGAATAAGTTCATAATAAACAAATATTTTCAAGTTAATATTGGTATCACCTTAATAATTTTGTAAGTAACTGAACAGTTTTTATGCTATTTTTATTTTATTAATTTTGAAACTTTTAATAAGTTAAGATACTAAAAGAAATTGGCAATTTACAGAAATACACCAGATATTTATTTCTTCAAGCCACAACTTGTATCTTTTTATAACTTCAAATAAAGTTCCAAAAACTATGTAACCTGAGGATTTTAGAAGCAAAATCTGAACAGCGAAATCAAGAACCACGTTAGTGGTTCATAATAGGGATTGCCCCTTTCTTATTTATTATTATTTAATATTGTTCCACCAACTTACAGGAAAAATAGCTGTGAGTATTGTAATAAAACCTGGGCAATATTATTAAATGTATCACTGCACACTGTGTATGGTAGTTTTAAGTTTATTTGATTACCTAGCAAATAACAGTGGCTGTATAACTGTTGACACCCAATCATCTTAATGTAGTCTGTAATTTATATGGAGCTTCATAATTTAGCACATGCATAAGTATACAGCTGCATGCATGCCATGGATGTAACTTAATGTTTACATTGTAGGCACAGCAGATGTACCATAGCAATTATTGACTTATTGTTGCAACTGTATTGATGTCACATATCATTTGTTTATGTATAGGAAGGAACTGAAATATTACATTCACACATTCCCAAGGAATTTAACTTTGCTTGAGGAATTTCATCTTTTTAGTTGGCTTTCTCAATCGGGAATGCATGGTCCATCTGTACTCCTTTAGTTATGACCAATGAAAGTGAACATATTGTATGGATTAAGTAAAAAAATTCATGAGGAAATGTTACTTTACATGAGGGAATGTAATCTTCCTGATAGCTTTCCCTGGAGTGAGTGTTGTGAGACAAATTCTTTTTTTTTTTAAGGCTATGATTATATTTATAGTTCATTTATTATTTCATTCTATCATTTAGTTTATCTATAAATGTTTAGTTGCATTAAAACACTAACACATCTTCTACATAGTCAGTTGTATTTTGCGGAAATGTGTGTGTGTGATGAAACTGACACCAGCTTCCCTAGTGGTACAGATACTATTAATGTAGCAG